GAACAAGGTGAAATTCCCAATGCCACCAAAAACAAAAATTATAAAAATGGATGATGGTAGTGGCAGCGTATGTTGGCACACTCTTGCAATTTTAGGAGGCTGAGGTAGGAGGATTACTGTGAGATCCAGCCAGCGTTGCCTATACAGTGAATGCAAGACCAGTCTGAACTACACAGTAAGACTCTGTCTCAAAAACAAAAAAGAATGGTGGTGATGGTACCATGACTTTGTAAATATACTAAAACCTACTAAATTATAGACCTTGAGTGAATTTTATGTGAATTATATTAATTATCACTATGAATTATAACTCAATAAAGCTGTTATTTAAAAAAAAAAACCAGCAGACATGTTAGGCAGCAAATTAGACACACCTAAAGAGGGATTTTGTGAACTGGAAGATAAATCTAAAAAAAATTATTGTGGATACAGCACAGATTTGGAGAGATAGCTCATTGTAGTGTCTTCAGCTAGCATGTGCATGACCCTGGGTGTGATCCCCAGCACCACAGCACCACAGCACCATACACAGATACACACACACACACACACTGAAAAAGAACGTACCACAGAAAAATAAGAAGCTAAAGAATCTAAGAGACACAAAAGCTTGCAAAGAGTTCATAGAAACCTGATGCAAGGAAAGTCAATGTTTAGAGACATTATACTGGTGAATATTTCAGAACTGGTAAAAGCTAAGTGCTCACAGAGAACACAACAAATACTAACTAGAATAATAAAGAGAAGCGTATATCCAGGTCAAGCAGTGAAATTTCAGACCACCGAAAACAAAAGAAGATCTTTAAAAGAGCCCACCCACAAGAGAAAAGTAATGCCAAAGAAACAGCAATTAGACTCAGGGCACAATTTCAACAGCAACAGTGAAACCAAAGACTGAAATAATCTTTAAAAATCTTTATCTTTAAGTAATCTTTAAATAATCTTTAAAATATCTTTTAAAGTGCTTAGAGGAAAGTAATTTCCAACTAAGAATTTATACTCTGTTTTACTGAAATAAATACAAGATAAATTTTTTCAGATAACTATAAGTCTAGAAAACAACTCAATAGAAAACAAGTAGCCTGATTTAAAATTGGGCAAAAGATCTAAACAGGCGTTTGCCGAAAGGAATATGCAAATGTCCCACAGGCTTATGAAAAGATTCTCAACATCACTATTCATCAGGGAAATGCAAATTAAAACCACAGTGAGCTATGACTTGACTCTTGTTAGAATGACTACTATAAAAAGATGAAACCTCACAAGTGCTGTGGAGGAAAGACCCCGAGCACCCTCTAGGTGGAAGTGTAACCTAACATCACCATATGGAAAAGCAGATAAGGTTCCTCAAGAAACTTCAAACAGAGCTCCTGAGTGATTTGGCTATCCTGGCCCTGCCACCGGGTGCCGATCCAAGGGAAGAGACATCTGCATTCCGTGTTCACTGAAGCACAATTCACAATGGCCAAGTGAGGAGTTGACCTAAGTGTCCATCTGTAAATGAATAGATTTTTAAAAAGTTGGCCGGACGTGGTGGCACATGCCTATAATCCCAGTACTCAGGAGGCTGAGGCAGGATGATTGGTGCAAGTTCGAGAACAGCCTGAGCTACAAAGTGAGCTCAAGGTTAGTTTGAACTACATAGCGAGACCCTGTCTCAAAAAGATAAAAAAAAATAATAACAATTAAATAAAAATAAAAAGTGGCACATACACATAATGGGATATTATTCAGCCTTTAAAAAGGACCATGTGGATTAACCTGGAAAATGTTGTGCTAAGTGAAAATCAAGTACAGAAAAATTAGGTAGTCTTATTCACACATGGAATCTAAAAAAAGTTGAATGTCCAAAAGCAGAGAATGGAATACTGGAGGCAGGGTAAGGCAGGTGGTTCTGGTCAGAGGTGGGTGCCTCCTTTAGACAGGAGGTAGAGGTGTTTGAGATCTACTGCACAGCATGATAACTATGGCTAATACAATGTACATTTTAAAATTATTAGCAAGTATGTTTTAAATGTTCACACCACAAAATATAAGCATGTGAGGTAAAAGATATATTAAATACCTTGATTTCATTATTCCATAGTGTATTATACATTGAAGCACCACACTATATCTTGTAAACACATACAGTTATTATGCATCAGTTTAAAAAAATCTTAAAGGTTAGATCAGTACATTTTTCAGATGAATAAAACTCAGAGACATTGGGAGGTGTGATGGTTAATCTTGATTGTCAACCTGATTGGCTTGAGAGCTGCTAGGAGATCAGTAAAGCACATTTCTGGGTGTGTCTACAAGGGTGTTTCCAAAGACAGCTGGCATGTGAGCCAATGAACTGAGGTAGGAAAGAGCCACCCTGAGTGTGGACAGCTGTGTCCAATAGGCCAGGGCCCAGATGGAATAAAGGTGTCAGAAGGAGGAAGCCAGCCTGTGCTTGCAAGCTCGATTCTGCTTGGGCAGTTGTCTCTAGCTT